CCATCTACCGTCGAGGTTAAGAACTTCTGAAACTCTTTTTTTCACTCTCTCATAGATTTTTACTGTTCTGTGTTTAATTAAGCACATGAAAACATTCAACTTTTCTTTACATAAATGTGACAAAATTGTCAAGGGATACATATCGATGTTTTAAAGAAGAACGAAAGGATGATGAAGTATATTACGTAATAAAAACTTTCGTAATTTTCATCTTTCGCTTAACAAGGTATTATTAGTGTTACTTAGTCATGCTGCATACAAATGTGGGGCGTGGAATTATGAGAAACATACACACGATTTTAGTTGGTAAGCTTGAAGGGCAGCTAGAAGCAAGATGGGATATTCACATTAAATTCGATGTTAAGAGAAATAACATTTGAAGATGTGAATTGGATTAATCTGGCTTAGAATCGCATCCAGTAGTTTGTTTCTTTCTGGGTTGTTATACGATGCTCTTAACAGCTAGAGTGCGTATTGTCACTAGGAAGTGTAGGCGTTGGGTCCTAGATTTGATGATTGGATTTATTGGGCGTCTCTATTACTATTACATTTATGTGTACAGTTGATTATAACAGCTCACATATCGAACCCAGTCTTGATAAGGAATCTCTCACTCTTGTCTGGATCTTGAAGTGGTTTGTAGTCTGTCGAAATCCACTATTCAGTGCGACTCACTGCGAACAGAGTATTCATTACCTAATGGGGGGGGGGTAAGAAACACACTCTCTGGTTTTGAAAGTTCCCAGGCAGTGCCCGCCTGTCCTTCTGGTATAGGTAGTGCATATAATAGGAATTATTCATTTTTTAAATAATTTTTATGACGCTGGAAGGTGTGCGTTATAGTGAAATTTTTGCTAACGTTAGGAGGGCTATATTAGGGCGAAATTTTGACGTTACCAATGAGAGGGCTGCATGTGAGGCATGCAGTGCAACGTGGAATTTGTGTACCAATTCAGCATTTGCTCAAGGACCGAAGAAAACTACAGAAAACCTTGGTTGAGTTGGCCGGTCGCAGGACCTTCCGGATGCAAACTGACTTCAAGCCAGCATCCCGGCGAATTACGTATCCTTTTATAACCCCCTGCGGAACGCGAAGGGAACACACGCTTGAAGAGTTCGTCTCTTGTAATATGCGTGTCCGTTTCCACACTGTATGCTGCTATTGAAATGTGTTTAGTGAAGCTTTGCCTAGCTTTCAGGCGTCATGTCACAATAAAATCGGATACGGTGATAACTGATGAATAGAGAAGGATTTGGAAGGAAGTGATCGCGTCAAAATCTGTGGTACTGTTACGTAAGTTTCCTGCAAGCAATGAAGGAAACCTCAGTCAAGATAGCCGGTTGTCATGCAGAGATTTTGAACCCAGCTCCTTTTGAATGCAATTCTAGAGCGTTATTGTTGAACCGGCTCAGGTTTTGGTGATTATGGCGACGCCTGTGGGTGATTCGCAAAACCGTTTGATTTGTTGATAGCTAAGCAGGCCCAAATATCTATATTTCAAAGAGAATTCCACTCGCTACTCCTCCCCAACTTGTTATCTTAAATACTGTGACGTACTTCCGCTCGTACCTCCCCACAAAATTGGAAATGTATTTGCTTATCTGCCTTTAGTTCGACAACTTCTGAATAGATGTTTAGGCTTTATTGATCACTGAATGGAATATGAAAGCGAGGAAGTGTTTTCTTGCCGCGTTAAAGTTCTGTTGTCGACTCTATTCAGAATTAACACCCTAGGCAATTCTGAATATATCAAAGGATATTCATTATGGGCTGGTATCTCTTTTACAAAATTTGTTGTGCAGTGTACGTAATAGTTGTATGTGAAATACGTAGTGGATAGGTTTCAACGAAATTTGTGTTTACTAAAACAGTTAACGGCTTGACTTTCAATTACTTGCACGTAGTTGGTGCGAAATGCGCGTTCTCATAAGTTGAGAGGAAAAGCGAAGGAGTGGACAGGTGCAGGATGCGTGGTCTTTCAGTTCGTACTTAATTAAAGTCATGAAATAGTTAAGACAGCTCGTAGGAACTTTATGGAGTTAGTTAGGGAGAGAGTTACCCTCAGGAGAAGAAGTTTTGCAGACGTAGGCATATAAAGGCTTCTGTCTTCTTTGAGGTGACTACATGTAGGCTGATAGGAACTTAATGACTTTCGGAGGAAATTACTACCTCCATCTTCAGATCAGAAGAATAAGTCAAGTGAAAAAACACGAGCTCCTTGCTTGCTGTTTGCTCGTCTGTAATACTGAAGAAGGAAGCATTGCGTTTATCCGAAACGTCTGTAGACTTGTAGTAGACTATACGGTGTCACATCCCCCAAGTACCCTTCATAGTTACAGCTGTGTAAACCTCAACGGATTTGTATCGCTTAGGAGAGTGTCCTAGGGTAGCTACATATGTATATCCCACATATACCTGCCTGTGCAGTGATAGGATTGTTCAGCAGATGTTCACCAAGCGTCTGTCAGATATAATTAAAATCCACCTGGGCGTCTGTTCCACCCTGTTTACCCAAACAGCGCTTTGTAGGAGAAAACTGGTATAGACGAAAAATATTCCACTTGGAGACACGATTCCGGAAAAAGAAATTGCCGGCTTTGCTGCTATGTACTTGGGTTCTAGTCCCAGTTAACTTCTTTCCGCAGTACTTTCTCTATAATGAAAACACTGGGATCTTGAAGTGAAGCTTGCATGTCTCAAAGTGACCATGGTAACGAGACAACAATGTAAATATGGCGACGGTGAGCACGTTAACTTCATATATGTTACGGCAACTGTTGTAACGGGACGCCATGGCATGTTTCTACCCTGAGGAAGGATGCAGCAGGTTTATACGAAACTTTGATAAGGACATGGTGTTCCGGAGATATATTCTGTCTCCTTCTGCAGGGTCGAAGTGTGTAGTTAGTGAGTTTCTTGCCTAGACCACTCTCTCTCTCTCTCTCTCTCTCTCTCTCTCTCTCTCCTTCCACAATTACTTTTAGAAACAGAATGCTGTATATAAAAACATAAATTCACCAACTTACAGACTTCAATCCTGAAGATGAAGGCAGCACGTATCCCCGAAACATCTTCAACGTATGTAAGGTTTGATGTTTTGACGACGGTGACTATGAAGAAAGCAGTCTTCTGGGATGTGGCGCCGTGTAGATATTGTATTAACAGACTTTTCGCGGATTTCGTCTTTTTTTCTACCCGAAGATGGAGGTGATACGTTTCTCCGAAACGTCGGTTAACACAATATCTACACGGCGCCACGTCCCACTACTTTCTTGATCTTCAAAATAACTCACGTCTACACCGTTTAAAACCAGGAACAAAGGCAACATTCATAATGACAGTAATATGAATTACGTTCTCAATTGCGTCTCCCATTTTGAAGTGACATTATATCCCTCACCTACCCTTCCCACCTCCAATGGACAAACTCCGTGTGGAACTCGAGTGTGCTCGTACAAGTTACGTAACCCTGATATCGCCAGGGAAATCAGACGCGATGTGCTGCAAGTCGCCCCTAGATATTTCAAGTTGATGCTGTTTGAGTGCTGATCCGATCTGTCTTTGACATATGTCAGGTGTAGGTAATTAAATACGTACTGTGGTGAAATCTCTCTCCGTAGAAAGAGACTAATGATAGTAATTAATACAACGAACATGTACAAGCGCCAGACCCCACCCCCCACAGGGAGATCAGAGAACTTGCAGAGACGCGATGTCTGAATGACGTATGCATGAGCAGGTGTTACAGAGAACTTAAAAATCTTTTAGGGCGGACGAAAAGAACAAAAAGAGAATTACTACGTCTGTTAAAAATTTATCTGTTTTGTATATAAGTTTCTGCATTGTTACTCTCTGTTTCTAAGAGAGAATTTCTTTTGAATATCCCAAATATTTAATTATTTGTATTGAGGACTTCCAGTTTGAGTAATATTATGAATACTCGTTAATAATGAGTACAAATTCGTCACTAACACTAACCGGCACCTGATGATGACACAATAAGTGTCGAAACAAGTCGTGCCTTTAAGATTTATAAGTTTAATATAAATATTCATTTGTAAATCTCTTAAATAATTGTTGTGTTGACGGAAAGAATAAGTATGGTTAAGTTTGCGGAAGTAATTTAAATATTGCAATTGTTGGATAAAATATTTATTTTTGTAGAGCTTACGGAATAGTTGGTGACGAATAAATGTTGTGGAATTTTAAGAACAATGTTTTCCAAATGTGTCATAAATATCTCATTTGACGAATATTTCATTTCCTGATGCGATAAAAATAATTTTTTATAAAGATGTTTTTGATCCCAGGAAATACATTTTGAAATAATCCAAAATGAAATATGACTTTGTTACAAATTTTGTTTCGCAACATTATCATTAAACAACGAATAAAACAAGAGAATTTTAAGCTTTCGCGTCAACTGAATGCGGTGACACCTTTTTGGGCAAACGGGCGTATAAATATGTTCTTAATATCCATTGTTGGCAGTTTCCGATGCATTATGCGCAACTGCGGTCCGTGCTGACATAGGAAATGGCTTCAAAATAATTTATTGAAATAATAATAATAATAATAAGAAGAAGAAGAAGAAGAAGAAGAAGAAGCTCACCCCAATATGCAGGAAGTAGAGTTCTACTGGCAGGCAATATGGGAAATGGAAACAGGACAGAATGAAAAGGCAGACTGGATAAGAAGAGAGGGAAAAGGAAGAGAAGGAACCAGCGACATGAAGTGGATGCCTATAAAAACTGCAGAATTTACCTCAGTTTTGGCCAAAACGCACAACTGGAAGTCTCCTGGAAGAGATCAAATACAAAATTACTGGCTAAAAGCATTCCCAGTTACGCACAGTTATATTGTAGAAGCTTTCAACAAAATAATAGAAAAACCTCAACAAATGCCCGAATAGCTGACTACAGGACTAACATACCTACTTCCTAAATCGAAAAACACTATGGACCCAAAGAACTACCGACCGATTATTTGTTTATCGACTATGTATAAGATGCTGACAGGAATTATTGCCAGAAGAATTTCGTTATATTTGGAGGAGCACAACCTATTGCCAGAAGAACAAAAAGGATGTCATCCAGGAAGTAAAGGATGCAAGGACCAGCTGCTGATATCAAAAGCAATACTTCAGGAATGCAGGAGGAGGAAAAAGAACCTAACCATGGCTTGGATTGACTATCAAAAGGCATTTGATAGAGTGCCCCACAGCTGGATAGAAAAGTCAATGGAACTAGTAGGAGTGAATGAGAGCACAGTGAAATTTTGCAAACACTCCATGGAAAAATGGAACATAAAGCTTCAGCTGAGAAGAAACAGGAACTCGTGCAATCACAACCCATTAAAATAAACGGAGGAATATTTCAGGGTGACTCATTATCACCACTACTTTTTTGCATAGCACTTATTCCGCTAACTCATGATGTTATGCCCTGGCGGCGCAGGAGGGGGCGTGGAGTCAGCCTCCTCTGCTACCACCGTAACACTGCAAGTAGGGGGGGCGTGGAGTTATCCCTCCTCGCCTCCGCTGGTTAGGTCGTAAACTGGTACTACTGGTAACGTCGTGCCGTCGGGGGTGTGCAGGTACCCCTCCTTGCCTCCACTGGTTATACTGTAAGGCGTTAACGCAATCATCCTAGCTTACCCTTAGCTAGGATTCTCCTATATCGGAGTTTCCTTCTGTCATACAAGCTGCCACCATCTATTTTCTGTTCTTTCAATTGTGGGGACTACTCCCTGGCATGTAGTCATACCCCTTCTTGACCACTCCTCCCTTAGTTTACAGGTAGCGTCTAAATACTTATTAATACACTTTATCATTCTATCTTAAAAGGGCGTTGCTGTCGAGGCTACCATACTCTGCCTGTGTGGCAGGAGCCTATCCCTGTCTATTTGTATCTTCGGCTTCGGCTGCCACTGCGGCCTGTGTCAGTGCGGCCTTTGCTCGTCAGGATTACTCGGGATTGGATGTGGGAAATGGATTCTAGATACGAATTACACTCCCGGTACATCCTATCCTATCTATTCTAGCTGTCTATTTACACTATTAGATATATACATGAATTACATTATTTACATATCACAAAGACTGTCCTTCAGTCTTGACTACACATTCTGTTTCTTCAAGTTCTCCCCCTTCAGGGGTAGAGGCCTTGAGCCTCTCTCTCTCTCTCTCTCTGACTCATCTAATGGGCCTGCAAGCCCTCCTCGTGAACATATATAATTTTCCTGTACATTTCTAATTACACATGAAATATGATTCTACCATCTTTCATAAAGTTCCCTCAAAACGTAATCTACCCTTAAATATCTATATTACTTTCCCACATACTATATTTACCACTACTCACTATATGTAACCTTGACACCGACATATAAGTCACTCATTGCCTGACTAATATCCTAGGCTTCTACACTTTCCTGGTATCCTACCCTACGGGCTCACTGGGTACACTGGAGATCGCACATTGAAACACAGTTATCACCAATACTATGAAACAACGTATTATCAATCGGCATGGCTAATATGCGTAAACAAACCCACCTGTAGTACAAGATGCCGGCTGACGTCCAGCGCTCGTCAGACCCATGTTGAAGAGCGCCTTCGGCTGACAACCGAATATTCTGTTAGAACGTGCTACCAAGTCCCCCGAAATTCCCTAATTTAANCAAGGAAGTAAAGGATGCAAGGACCAGCTGCTGATATCAAAAGCAATACTTGAGGACTGCAGGCGGAGGAAAAAGAACCTAAACATGGCTTGGATTGACTATCAAAAGGCATTTGATAGAGTGCCCCACAGCTGGATAGAAAAGTCAATGGAACTAGTAGGAGTCAATGATAGGATAGTGAAATTTTGCAAACACTCCATGGAAAAATGGAACACAAGGCTTCAGCTGAGAACAAACCAGGAACTCATGCAATCACAACCCATTAAAATAAACAGAGGAATATTTCAGGGTGACTCATTATCACCACTACTTTTTTGCATAGCACTTACTCCACTAACTCATGAATTAAATAGATCTGGATGTGGGTACCAGGTGCATGGATCTGAAAGGAAAATAGGTCACTTGTTGTATATGGATGACCTGAAACTGTTAGGAAAAAGTGAGGGAGAATTGAGGGACGAGATTAAAATTGTAAAAACATTCAGTAGTGATATAAAAATGGAGTTTGGATTAGAAAAATGTGCCAGAATTTCGATAAAAAAAGGTAAGGTTCAAAGAAAAGAGCATGTAGAAAACACAGGGGAGAATTAAATTAAAGAACTATAGAAACAAATGGAGCATATAAATACCTGGGAATAGAAGAGAACTACCAGATAGAACACAAGAAAGAGAAAGAAAGATTGAAGGAGGAGTATGTAAGAAGATTGAGATTGATTTTGAACACAGAGCTGAATGCAAAAAAACAAAATGCAAGCAATTGGATCATTGGCAGTACCAGTACTGAGATACAGTTTTGGAATTATTAACTGGCACAAAGAGGAAATACAAAAATTGGACAGGAAAACAAGAAAAATGTTAACTACCTACGGACAGCATCACCCAAGAGCAGATACAGACCGTCTGTATGTTCCTAGAAAAGAGGGAGGACGAGGCCTGGTACAGATAGAGGCGGCTTACGTGGCAGAAACCACAAACCTAGCGGAATATATAGAAGGAACAGAAGATCAACTGATGAAAATTGTTAGGACACACCAACGCAACACAGGTTCTTCGCCGAACACAGCCCGCAAGCACACGAAATTTTTACAAAAAAAGAGACAATAGCTCAGAACACAAAAGAAAAGAATGCACGGGTAATACCCACGCAGCTTAGATGACACTCTGGTGGATAAGGAACAGACCTATCGATGGTTGAAATTTGGAGGCATTAAAGGGGAAACAGAAAGCTTAATCGTAGCAGCTCAGGACCAAGCAATCAGTACAAACTATTTTAAGAGAAAAATATTGAAAGAAGAGATCGGAAGTAAACGTCGACTGTGTAAAGAATACGAAGA